CGGGCCCGTGGGGGTCCCCGCCTCGCCGGGCGCTGATACCCTACTACCCCTCCCTTTTCCCACTTTTTTAATTTTCTTTAGGTTTTGGAGAGCCTAATTTTCTTAAATGTGGGGGAAGGAAGGGCTTGTCCCGGTGCTGAAAGGTCCCCGATGCGGGGGGGAGGCTGCATGCGGGGGTCTCATTAAGCTGTGGTTTATCTTGCTAAATGTCTCCCGAAATCAGGTGGCTTTTCAGAAATCTCTTGGTGGGCTTTTGCGCGTGGATGGAGTCCCTCGGGCATAGCGCTTCTCGTGGCCAGCAGCCCAATGGGTCTGGTGGGAAGGGCAGGGTCACCTCCTGCTTTTTGCAGAGGGATGGGAGGAGCGGTGGAAGTCAGACTGGGGGGATGCATGGGGATGGGTTATCTAGGGACAGGGATGGGTTATCTAGGGACAGGAACAGGTCTGCACTGGCAAAACAAAACCATTCTGTGTCCTGGTGCTGAGAGAAGGCAGAATGTTTGGAGTCCTGAGGCAATGTGCTTCCAGCACCCATGATGTGAAGTGTGCTGTGAAAACAAACCTTTTCCTAACCTATAACTAGACCTGCTGGTGTTCCTTTTGTTCTCTTTCTCTGTAAGCATCCTGAATCCAGACCCTGCGAGTGCCTGCAGTGAGGGTGACAGGCTCCAGCGAAGCCCAAGCTGCCCCTCCTGTGTTACCTGTCCCCAGCTGGCATCATCCTTCCCGCCATCACTCTTGAACAAGGAACTGCACTTCTTGTCAGCCTTCAGTTTCCTGCCCTTTACACAGTATCTGATGTTGTTCTTACAGGGGTGTGAACACTTTTTCTCCCGAGGGAAGGCTGTTCCAAGTGGAGTATGCCATTGAGGCCATAAAGGTATCGTCAGCTCCGTCTGGTTGCCAAACTGTGACGTTAAATGCTCTTTCAAACCCAAAGCCTGAGTTCGGTCAGCAATAAAACAGGCAGGTTGTGTTGGTTCGGGCTCTGGTCTTGCTCTGCATCGAGGCAGGGTTTGGCCGGCTCCCAGGGCAGTACGTAACGCTGAGCGGGAGCTGCTGCCTTTCCCCGTAGCCACTGCTCCGGCCTGCAACTGCGCTGGCAGCTCTTTGCCAGCCTTTCACCTACGGTTTGTAGCAGAAGACCTGTGTGCCGGTGTTCGATTCTTTCCATCTAGCCAAACCGCTGGCAGCTCTGCTCTTTTTGTGGGTCATGAAGAATCAAAAGCCATCCGTTTCCCCTAGATGCCGAGGGAATGTTCCCCTCCCTGTCTCCTACCCAACCAAGTTACCCCCATGCCAAACACAATCTGAAGATGCTAATCCCTAAATCAGAACTGCTCAAAGCTGATGTTGAAATGAGAGCTCCTGACTGCCCGTACGCTGTGACGCTGCCTGCAGAAGTTCACACTGTCGGCGCATTGTGCCCTTAATGTCCGCAAACACTTGTCTAAGAGCGGTGGAGCACTCTGCTTTCTCTTTGCCTGACCTAATGCAGTGTTCCCTTCTGGTCCGTGAGCTTTATAAAGATGGAGTCCTTTTAAAAAGAAAAACCAAACCCAAAGTGGCAACTTTTCTCTTGCTAGGTCAACTTTCCTTTTAGCTCGCTGCGGTTGCAGCTTGGCCTCGGTCACCGTTCGCTCAGGTGAATTTTAAAACCTGAAGGTAAAGGTTGTTACAAGCAAACTAACCCACCTCTGCAGAGCTGAATGGTTTTCCTGGGGTGTTAAGTGTTCTTAATTGTTATCAATTAATGTTCTTATTTCTGAGAATGTGGGCATTGATTGGGAATAAGTTTAAACCCGGGTCAGGTGAAGAAGCCCTCAGCAGGCCGGTGTTTGGACTGGGGAAGGGGGGTGCTGGCTTTATCTTTCCTGTGCCACTTGAGCTCATTTGAAGGGCTGCTTAAACGAGGAGGCAAAAGGTAATAATTTTATTAAGGCATTGGGAAGTAAAGCCTCTTGGAAGGATGTCAGTCACCATCCTGACTTTGTAATTACAAATACATCCACTAGAGAAGAAATCATACGGAAGCCGCCTGGTTCCTCCCTTTTTTTTCCAGATCAGCCCATAAGCTCACCGACGAAATCGCTGCAGCTCAGTGGCTCTTGCGACACATTATGCGCGGTGCCCGTGCGTTGAGGTGTAGGAGGAGGTTTTTATTCATGTGCCGTAGCTTCATTAACAAAAATACATCTGAAATGGCATCGGGTGTCCCTTCTTCCCTTGGGGTTTGTGCGCAGCTGTGGCGCACTGCGTGCTTAAAGGACGGGAGCGTTGAGCAACGTCTAAAACCATGAGTGTCTGTGACGGGGAGATTCCCCTCTGCCAGGCCTGTGGTTAGAGGTGTAACTACCTGGGGAAGCTCGTCGCTAAAATTATACCGTGTAGCCTGCTTGGGGTGTTCAGAGTCAGCATCTCCACACCGCCGCTGGTACAGTTATTTTGGTAAATTCTCCAGTGTGGAAAGGCTGCGAGTGCTGGGAGCAAGGTAGGAGGAGATCTTTGAGATCTCTGAGTCCCCCCCCACTTCGGCTGTGCTCTCGGCAGTGGTGTCCTGCAAGACTGGGGTAGAACTTGCTGTGGGTGATCAGCTGCTGCCTGGAAAACAGTACGTGCACAAAATGCTCTCATTCCCGTGGTAAATTTTGTGGCTATGAGGACACTTGGGAGAAAAGGAGCTAATGGAAAGAAAAGTGCTCAAGCCAGAAGTACAGATGCTGTCAGAATTCAGGCCATTACGGGTAATCCTCCTCTGCCGCTTTAAAATTTAATTTCTGTCTTGCAAAGGAAGATTCGCAAGGCCTTTTAAATTCATAAGGCTTTAAGCTGTAAAAATTGATGTTGCTTGGGGAAGAGATTAATGATTTGCCGCAGCCCTGCTGGGTTCCGATGAACTAATCAGCTGGGAAGTAGCGTGGGTTTAACCTTTCCAGTTTCCTAGTTCAAGTCGTAACATTTAAAATTTGGTGTGCAAAGCCCCAGAGTTTTGCACGCAGTGGGGTTTTTGCATCGGTGATGCGATCGTCTCCGAAACAAAACTCCTACAAATAATACAAGTCAAAATTAGCGTTGCATCGTTTATATTTGTGCGAGCTGTCGCGGCTAGACCCCGTGTCGGATGTGGTCGTGGTAACTGTACGGTGGTTTTCAGCTTGGTTCCACGGCCATCGGGATCCAGACCTCGGAGGGTGTCTGCCTGGCCGTGGAGAAGAGGATCACCTCCCCGCTCATGGAACCCAGCAGCATCGAGAAGATTGTAGAAATCGATTCCCACATAGGTAAGGAGAAAGAAGTGAACTTTGGGTGCCCCTCTCGTACAGCCCCGGGAGCATCCCTCAAGTTTTGGCAGATATATATAATAAGACTGTCCCCTGGGAGTGTTGGAAGCGGCGTTTCAGGGCTAACCTTCCCTGCAGGCAGCTCCGCTGAGCCGAGCAGGAACGTTTATCCCTCCCAGTGAACACCAGGTCCTGGTCACTGGTTTTCCAGGCTCCAGGCCAGCAGGACATAGTTACAGGAGCAGGAAGAGGCAGCTGAAGCACACACACTCGCCCCCCCCCTTGCTTCAATGACCTCCCTCATGAAAGCTCATCCCAAATTTAGATCTGGGAGGGCAGGGAATTGCTGCAAAAGGTTTGACTGGGGGCCAGTTTCTCTGGGAGCACTAATGTTAGCCCGTAGCCCTGCTCGCAGCGGCCTCCCGCTCTGTCAGGGGGCCCGCGACGGGCTCATTACCAAATATGTCGCCTTGAAAAATGGGAGACCTCCAAAATACCCATGTTACTGATGACATGGGTCGTGGAAGGAGCTCTCAAAGAGTCTTAATTTCCTCCTCCCGTGTGCTTGCCATACAGCTCCTCTCTTCCTGCAGCAGCATTTGTGTTGGGGGCGCCTGTTGCATCCCCCCCCTCCCCCCAGCTATGGGTTAGCCGGCGTTCCCCGCGGCGAGGTGGATGAATGAGTTCCCTTTCCACGCAGGTTGTGTGTCTGTCGGTTAGCTTCTCTTGGAAGGCCTCAAATGTGACTCCTTTGACCAGTTCAGATTTGGGATGGGTGGGAGGTGTGAGACTGGGAGACCTGGGTTATGTACCTGCCCTTCAGCCGGGTGTTATCGTGGATTGGGCTGTGCCGGGCGGCTAAAACGAACGACAGATCCATCCTTGCTCTTGAGCAAATCTGTTTCGGTCCCATCTTCCTTCCTTTCCAGCAAGCTGTGGTGCGGCACTGCCGTGTGCTCCCATGCGCGGACCCGCTCCGCCCTGCAGCCTTTTGTATTTCAGCGTGGGCTTTGGGAAGTCTGGGGGGAAGAGTGCGTGGCAAATCATCGGTGAAATGACTCCTGTTTTCACCTCTCTTATTCCAGGGTGTGCCATGAGTGGCTTAATAGCCGATGCAAAGACTTTAATTGATAAAGCAAGAGTGGAGACTCAGGTAAGACTTGATATTTCTTACTCTGGTAAGACTTGACATGTCTTGGGGGGCTCTCGGAAGTCTCTGGCACAGGAAGATCGTTACAGCGAAGGAGCCAGTGTGGAGTGGGAGGCTTGTGGGGAGCATAGCTTCCCTCACGGGGCTTTTGCTGAACAAACAGTTGGAGTCTCGTGTATTTTTCCTCTTTGATACCGAACACTTGGTGGGAATCTTATAGCAGGTTCTCCAGTGGTCTCTTGGCACCGGCAGATGTGCTCCAGTGAATGTGTGGGGCCGTGTGTTGAACTTTATTTTGACAAAAGCTATATTAGTTATATTTCTGACCCCTTAAATTCACTTGGTGCCTCAGGTGCTCAGAGGTCCCAGGCACAAATCTCTCTGCTGTAGTAAAGACTCCTTTCTGTGGAGTTTTCCTGCATTCCAGCACTTCTCCTGCCTCTGGAGAACCAGATAACCCCATTACTTCAGAAAGCCATACTGGGAAAAAGTGCTCTGGCCTTGTGTTTTCCCTCTTGCCGTCCCAAGGCCTAGGTATGCCGAGGTTTCTGGGGGATCCCTGCACAAACTTCCCAGTTTATTCTGCGCTTTCCGCTCTCTTCCCGCTGCTTCAATTTTACCAGTGAACAGGCTGTGCCCCGGGTGCCGGCAGCACCGGAGGGGTATCGCTCCCACCCGCCATGGGAACAATCCAGGATTGTCATATTTTGCCAACAAAACAAGGTGATAATTTAAATCTTTGGTGTTTTTTTTTTTTTTTTTTTTTCTTGCAGAATCACTGGTTTACCTACAACGAAACCATGACAGTGGAGAGCGTGACGCAGGCCGTCTCCAACCTGGCGCTGCAGTTTGGGGAGGAGGACGCAGACCCAGGGGCGATGGTGCGGAGCTGGGGGGGCTCTGGGGAGGGGCTGTTGGCTCCCCTCTGACTTTGCCCTCAGCCTTGCCTAACCTCTCGGCTCCTTTCTGTTGCAGTCTCGTCCGTTTGGTGTCGCGCTGCTTTTTGGAGGAGTTGATGAGAAGGGACCTCAGCTGTAAGTTCATCTCTCTTAATCCAGTCCAGCTCTGGGAATAGACAAAACCTCTACTGAAACTTCCCAGGGCGTTTTAATGACTTGATTCTGGGATTTTACTTTCAGCCAAACACTTGGGGTTTATCCCATTATGTACCTGATGTGTTTGTTAATGCTTTTAAACCCTTCCTTCCAACGCACGCGTTGCAGCGGCGTGAGCGCCGGCCGCTTGTTCGGGGTTGAAGAGAACGCCGTGTCTTCACTGAATCTTTACTTTCTAAATGTGGGTTCCTGGGCAGGAGGGAAGCGTTAAAGCTCTCCTTGTCCTGAGTTTATTCTTACCTTTCCCTAAAGGACTAGCAGAGCCACCCGTAACATAATATGTGGAGCCTGCTGTAACATTCCTTGGGGAGGCGGTGGAGTGCTTGTAACCTGAACTGGTGTGCTTCAAACGCTCAGCCTCCGCTGGAGGTGGGAACGGCTCAGCAGAGCCAGCCCAATAAGGTCTCCCCACCATCTGCCTCCCAGGAGCAGTAGTGAAAACTTCCTGGTTTTATTTAAAAAAAAAAGGGGCGGGGGGGGAGCGAAATAAAAAGGAAAGTGATTCTGCTGAGTACGGCAGGCAGTGCCAGGAGTGTTTAGCTCTCCTTCGAGCTTACCAGCCCAGCGTGGGTCTGCAGGTGACTCCCTGGCACTCCTCAAACCTCAGTTGTTTCCTCTTCGTGCCAGGAGAGACCTGCTGCTGCCCTAATTGCAGCAGTCCCCCGAGGCCGCTGGGCGTAAGGGAGGAGGCTGGGCACAGCAAGCGGCTGCTGCGAGCTCTGCCCTGCCTCGGCAGACAAGCTGTCCCTCCTGAGGAGCCCCTTGTTCTTCCCCAGCTCTGAGCCCTGCGGGGAGCACTGGGGAGCGCTCTGGGTCTGGTGGGAAAGCCCTTGGGGTGCGGCGACGTGGGATGGGGGTCAGCAGCCTTTCAGTGTCTCACCCGTGTTCCCGCAGGTTTCACATGGACCCGTCGGGGACGTTTGTTCAGTGCGATGCCAGAGCAATCGGCTCCGCCTCGGAAGGCGCACAGAGCTCTCTGCAAGAGGTTTACCATAAGGTAAAAGGCTGGATTGGGGTTGACATCTCACAAATTACAGAGTTATCTCCCGTCCCACAAGGATCCACTAGTTTCCTTCCCGACGAGCGATTCGTAAGGCTCTCCTTGCGCCGCGGAGGAGGTGCGTGAGCCTGTCAGGGGGAGGCTCGGTCCTTGGCAGTTGATGGCGTGATTAGATGTCAGTGCCGAGCTGCTGGATGAGGATCTCTACGACGAGGAGTGCTACTACCAGCAGCTTCCCCCCTGCCTGCAGCTGGAACACGAGACTGGTGTCCGAGATGCCGCTCTCTGCCTCTAGCGGGGTGATAATTAAGACCATGTCAGGAAGTACTCTATAAATAAAAGAACTGTTATACGAACGCCGCCGGTCGGTATCAGGGCTCGGTATGGATGGGGCTAAAGCAAGCGGCTTCGTTTTACCAGATCCGTTAAGCCAGTGAAGTTAATGGCTTTTGCGCTGCAAGCGCTGGTCTGATTTGATATTAAATAGAAACTTTCTTCCCTCCACGAGGAGGGAGCTGCCCGTTTTGTGTGGTAAGAAACCAAACACAGTAATGAAAAGCATGATTTATGGTGTCGATTGCCGTGAAAGCTTCCAACCTAAAACTCAATAACCTAATTTGTTCGTTAGCAGAACGGTCCAAGTTCTGGGCGTCGTGGCTCGTTAACCACCTTCTGACTGCGAAGTTACTGCAAACGCAGCTATCGTCACTCTTGGGATGTTGCGCAGCCCTCTGGCTCTAGTTCGCCCTCACACAGAAGTTTACATGATTAAAGCATGAAGGCTTCTGCCAAGGGGGAGTCCGGCGTTTCGGAGCTCCCGCTGGAGCTTCTTGGGGGGAAAGTGCTTAATGGATGGTGACTGGTGAAGAAAAACGGACCCTCGTGTCCCGGTCCTGGCAGAGAGGTTTATGCGCCCAGATTAACAGTTCTTAAGCTTTGTAAAAAGTTATACAGAAACAGAAAGTCGTCATCTTTGCAATTGCCGCTGTCCTGCCTGAGCAGTGTGCTTTGATCTCTTGTTGATACTGTAGATAACTTGATAAGCTTTTAAGTTTGCTGCCAGTGACAGCAGAAAGGATTTGGGAAGAGCAGGGAGCAGCACGCTTTTGCAGTCAAAGGGGTGACGCACAAGTACTTGCTTGAGCATGAACAATGCAACGAGCGAGTGATTTGTTTTACAGTCAATGACGCTGAAAGAAGCAATCAAATCTTCCCTCGTCATCCTGAAACAAGTTATGGAGGAGAAACTGAACGCAACCAACATTGAGGTAAGCGCGCTGCCGTTAGCGGCGCGTGATTGCGGCTTGAGGTGCTCGGCGCGGAGCGGAGGTCTTGCGCTGCTTGTAGTGTTTGCTTCCTCGGCGCCGATCCTGCTGGCTGCGCAGCGAGTGCCTCGGTGGTGTCTTGCCTTTTAAACGTCCGGGTGAGAAAGCCGCCCGCTTGCTTTCCGGCGAGAAGGGTTGCCCGTGCTGCTGGAGCAAGGGGTGAGTTGGTGGAGCGGTTCGGGACTTCCCCAAGCCGAGGGCTGGCTGGCTGCGGATGTTCTTGGGCTTTCGAGCTGCCCGTTGTAGCACGTCGCGTGGGGCGTGTTGGAAAGGTTAAGGCTTTCTTTTGACTTCTAGAGGTGTGCAGCCTGGCCCGTTTGCCCCGGCTAATCCATGAGCCTGGCAGAAGCGATTTCTCGTGGGCGTCCCTGGACGTGGGCTGGAGCTCCTGCTGACCTTACACAGGCCGAGTCAGCCAGCGGGAACCCGTCGTGCCGGCCGGATCGCTTTTTCTTCCCCTGGGTTTAACCATTCTTTTTTTCCCTGGTACTTGTAATATTAGAAGGAATGAAAATTATACAGCTTCTGGGCTTGCTATATTCAGTCTTGGGTCGGTGCCAAAAATCTCTTGGACGGGAGGATCGAAGAGGTGAAGCCTCCAGGAACGAATGTGCTCCTCTAACCTCCGGCTTTTGCCCGTGAGCGGCCAGGCTGGCAGAGCTCGGCTTCACCCGAGCGGGCAGCGCTCCGGGAGATACCCACAAACATAGTGGGACCTGTCCCACTCCTTCGACTTGTAATGCTCCTTTTTAGGTAGCAAAGGTAAAAAAACCCTTCCAGTTTGTTAGTGATAACGGATAGATGATGAGCAAGGCTGGCATATAGAGTTTGCTTCTATTTCTGGCGGGTTATGAGACACTAGACCTTTTGAAATCATGTCATTCCGACTCCTGAGCTACTCCCCTCCCGCCGTTCCCCCATTCCTCACCTCCGACCGATGGGAACCCCTTTCCCAAACAGCCTAAAAATGTGCACCCCATTTTATTTTATTTTTTTTTTAATTAAATACTGCTGTTGGGGACCCTTCCTGACATGATTAACCGACTTCCTTTGGGGGGAAAGGGCCAACAGCACACCGAAAACTTAGGTGCTCTGTCCCGAAATGATGCCGGCCGCCTGAAATCCCAACCCACACCCATCAGTTCTCTCTTGAACGGCTTCGGGTCTCTTGTGGAAGATCCGCAGTACAGTGCGAAGAAATTGAGGCGGAGGAGCGGGTACAGTATCCTTATGTCATGTCCCCGTTTAACAGGGCTTAACTGTGCTTGGCAAAGCTCTGGACGTGTTGAGGAATCGTATCAGGGTTAAGTATGAGAAGAATGTGCTGAGGATTAAAAGGTCTCTATTGACTCAAGTCACCCTTCTGGCTGAAAATCTTCTACCTGAAGTAGCTGCTTTGCTTTCTAGCCTTTGAGAAGTATGTGGTGCTCGGGTTTATTTAACTCCGGCTGCTTCCCCCTCTTGTATGGGATTTGCCATCTAGCAGCAAAGAGAAAGGGCGAAGCGTCGTCCTGGAAGAGTTCAATCCGTTGGCGGCAAAGGTCAGGAGCCTTAAACAATGTTTTAAATGCTTTTAAATTAATTACTCCCCTGGGAAGCCTGTAAGGGAATAGGTGAGTAAAGCTTTTGTTTGTAGGGAGGAGGTGAGGCACAGGTTGAAGCAGAGTAGTTGGTGTCTCCGAGTACTTGGCGTGGGTTTCAGGGTGAATAGACGCGTGTTTTCAAGTCCATTTGGGTCTCGCGTCAGGCCAGCGCACATACAGGTGATTTGAGGGGCCTAAAGTGACGTCTGCGAGTGCCTCTGACACGTTTGAGAGTGCCAGATAAAACCGGCACGCTCAGGCTGAGCGTTTGGGGTGTTTCTCCCTGGGAAAAAAAAAAAAAAAAAGCCTTGTGGCTACCCGCCCTCTGCCCCAAACCCGCGTCCCACCGTCCCGTGCTGCTTTATGGGTGACCTCGCAAGCAGAGAAGCCTGGGAAGAGCTCTGAGATTTGCCAGGACCCTCTTGCAGCTTTCCTTCAGTGTATTACCACCAAATGCTTTGATCCCTTAAGAGTAAAGCTACGTGCCCGGTGCCGGGATGCGCCCACCAGCGAGGTCCGGAGCATCCCGACTAACTCCTGCCATCTTTCCGGCTTGCCCGCCCGCGGCAGCTGTCTTTATCTTGAGTTCTCGTGCCGAGAGCTAGGTGCGAACCAAAGTCCCGCTTACATTCCTCTTCCAGTCTTGACGTTCTTGGAGTATCTCTTGTTCTGGTGTTCGCCCCGTGAAATGTCTCAGCTGTCTGCCCCGGGACGCTGCCTCCCTCCGCTGCTGGCAGAGGGGCAGAGCGGAGTATGTCATCCCCCAGCTTTGTCCCTTGGGTTTTGCCTTGGAAGAGATGTCTTTGGGCTGCTGGTACAGGGCACCAGGCAGCTGCAGGCCGCGCTGGGGCATGCTTATTGTCGGTGTTTGGGCCCCCGAAAGGCAGGTTTGCCTCTGCCTCGGTTTCTCGGACCTGACCCTCGGTCCCCTTTCGGAGCCTTTCGCTATCTTGGTTCTCTTAAAGCACAGAACGGGCCAGGATTTGTACCCTTGGGTGATGACTGGAGGAGAAGAGGCACTTCTGCTGAGGGCCACGCTGAACTACAGCGAGAACTGCCCCTCTCCGAGGAGCGTTTGATGACGGACTCGTATTAACGGGGTCTTTTCCCCCCAGCAGGCAGAAGCGGAGCCCGCCTGTTCCCGACAGACGTTCCCTGCTGCTGCTACTATGAGGAGACTGAGTCAATTAAAAGCTATTTCTGCGGCAGGCAGCTATTTTAGGGAATCAAAGAGCGTGTTACGGGGTGGAATGATCTTGCTGGGCTGGCAGATCAGGCAGGCGAGAAGGAACAGCTGCTGCGGCTGCTGCGGCCGCTCTCTGTTCCCTGTCCCGTCGCATACGCAGGCACGCTTAACCCCTTGCTCCTTCTCTTTCAGCTTGCCACGGTGGAGCCCGGGATGAAGTTCCACATGTACACGAAAGAGGAGCTTGAAGAGGTCATCAAGGATATTTGAAAAGGAGAGAGGCTCCCTCAAAGGCTCATTCCTGCCCCGATCGAAGCGAACTGACTCTCGGTTCCTCCCAGTACCTGTGATTTTATTTTCCAGCAGCATCTGTAATTGCTCTTCTTAGAAGGCTCTTGAGGTTTTTTTACAGTTTCTGTACATAACTGATCTCTACAATAAGAGGAAAATGAGAATAAATCATTTTGTTACTCTATCCCGGGTTGCTCATCGCGGAGATCTGAGGCGGGGGGACCATTTCCAGCTAAAATCGGGGGCAGATGAGGGCAACATCCACTGAAATCGGCGCGGGGCGGTGCGGCGCTTTGCGGCGCTGCGGTGTTTGCTGACTGTGGCGGTGGCGAGTCTCCCTCTCGTGGAGAGCGTGGCGATATCGCACCGCGAGATCTATGTGTAGTTTCCCACCAGCTTTGAAAAACATGAGGTTTTTTTAGATCTGCTTCGTCCCCCTTTGGTGCATTCTCTCTGTCCTCCTCCAGCGGTTTTTGTCCTTAATGGCTTAACTGACTCCTTCCCGGGGGAGACATCCATAACCAGGCATGGCGTTTGCTTTTACATCTAGTGGGGCTTGGAAATCCCCGGGATAGTGGGGGAACAGGCCTGGGGCTCATGGGACAGCCCCTTCCCTGTTAAATTGTGCGGGTACCGCTTGATTTTTGACAGCAGTCTCATTTCGACCAGCAAATCTGCTCATCCGCTTCACGGGGTTTGGTTTGGTTTTTGCTTTTGTTTCTGATTCTGCAGCAGACGTCTCTCATCCCTGGCCTCAAAATAGCATCTGAGAATAGAAGATCTGTCCGATAAGGGAATAAGCTGAGATTAACGAAGTATTTTCCTACAAAATCAACGCCTGCCCGGTCAGCGGAGCTGCGGGGGAACCCGGCTCGGCCCCGGTTGCTCGTGGCTCGCTCTGTGCCGCCCTGTCAGCCGCGGCGGAGGGCGGCTCCGCTCTCTCCTATTTTGAGAAATTACAATTTCACCCTGAACAAAACTGACGTTGTTTTGCCGGGGGAAGAGAGGGCCGTGGCCTGTGCCGCTGCCGGGAGGGGGATCGCCGGGTAAGCGGGGACGTCGCCAGCGTTCCGCGCGACTGAAATGAGTAACTTTCCCCTGGGTTCAGCGTTGGGGATCCTCCGCCGGTCTCCAGCGGCAGTTTCGGCGCTTGGCAAAGCCTTTCGTCGCTCGGCGAAGCCAAACGGTGGCAGCAAACTGCGGCTGAGCTCACACCTGCCAACCTCCACCTTTCGCGGGTGGGAAAATGCCAATCCTATTAATTTTTTTTATTTATTTTTTTTTCCCCCTCTCTTGCCGTCGCCAGGCGGCTGCAGGAAGGGAAGCCAGGTCTTCGCGGCTGGAAAGATCAGTCCTTGGATAACCTCAGTTTTCAGACTAGCCGAGCTCCTTCCTCTCGGGAATTCGGCTGCGAGTTTCCCCTTTGCGTAATAATCTGAAGGAAACAAATGGGATCATCGGGCGCCGCCTGAGGTCGTGGTACGGCTTGAATACAACACCTCTACCTGCAGGTGGAAGAGCAAACACACCAAATAATTACTTGATGGACTTTATCCTTTGGGGAGAGCTTCCTTGTAGCCCAGATGTGGGGGAACCAGCCTGCCTTTGGCTCTGCCTGCGCGGCTTCGGGGCGCAGGTACCGCTGGTGATCATGAGCTTTGGGCAGTCCAAACTCTACCGCAGGTGATTCCCACCCCCTCTTCTCGTCCCCTCGGGACCCCGCGGGTGACACCCCGGGGACACCCCAGGAGCAGTGTGTGTGTGTGTGTGTGTGTGTGTGTGTGTCCCCTCCGTGGCGGCTGATCGCCGTACCGGTTCCCCCCTCCCAGTGAGGACTACGGCAAAACCTTCAAGGACATCACCGCTCTCATCAACAACACCTTCATCCGCACCGAGTTCGGCATGGCCATCGGCCCGGAGAATTCGGGAAAGGTAGGAGGGGGCAGCACCCCCCTTCCCTTCACCAAACAGCCCCCCCCGGGCAGGATCACCGGTGGGTGGGTGGGTTTTTTTCCCCTCCTCTTGCCTTCCCCAGGCGGCTGCAGGAAGGGAAGCCAGGTCTTCGCGGCTGGAAAGATCAGTCCTTGGATAACCTCAGTTTTCAGACTAGCCGAGCTCCTTCCTCTCGGGAATTCGGCTGCGAGTTTCCCCTTTGCGTAATAATCTGAAGGAAACAAATGGGATCATCGGGCGACGCCTGAGGTGGTGGTACGGCTTGAATACAACACCTCTACCTGCAGGTGGAAGAGCAAACACACCAAATAATTACTTGATGGACTTTATCCTTTGGGGAGAGCTTCCTTGTAGCCCAGATGTGGGGGAACCAGCCTGCCTTTGGCTCTGCCTGCGCGGCTTCGGGGCGCCGTAGTGGGTCTCTGTGCCCCTCCTCGTCCCTGGGATGAGTTTGAGGCAGCGCCGAGGGCGGCTCTGGCGTGGGATCTCGCCTGTCCTGAATATCCAGCAGGCCAGGATGATATCCAGGGCACCGCCCCAAGCGTCACCCTCGTAAAACCACCCCCTGAGTGAAACCAGGGCTGTTATCGGTGGCGGATATAAACACCCTTTATCCTTAATGAGTTTCGAAGCTCGGTCGGGTTCCCTTCTCCTTCGGGAAGGAGACCCATGGTGTCCCAGCTGTTGTACGCCCCACCAAGAACCCCACTGCGTTGCGGGCGGTAACGCTCTTTCCGAGTTTGTTTGTGTCCTAGGAAACACAAAAAGCTAATTCTTCCCGACGTGGCACTCGGCAGAAAATGGTCCTTTATGCCCCTGCCCTCGTCACATGGTTTGCTGGTGGCGGCATCACATGAGAGCGGCTCCTCTGTAAGTGAAAATCGAGGCTTTGTGCTCCTTATCTGATCCCTCTTGGCAAGCGAAAAGTCCGAGCTCTTTGCCGAGGAGACAACAGGCTAAATTTGAGAGGGGGGGAGCGAGGGGAAGGGCGTCCTGCTCGCCTCCCCCCGCCCCGGTGTGTGATACCTGCCCCTTTGCTCGCTCTCTGGGCCGACCTGCGCCGTGGCGGAGCTGATTTTCCTTGGGCCTTTCACCCCTCCAACTCG